TGTTGTTACTGTTACTTTCATACTAGTGGCCAAATGATCTTCAAATTCCAAGAATTGATTTTTCTAGGTAAACATGAAGTTTTGCATTGGAAGGTTTGTATGTTAGACTGTAATTGTTATTGTGTTCTGATATCTCAGTTAAAAGCCTTGGGAATAGACAATATACTAGGCTTTGATTGGCCAGCATCTCCACCACCTGAAGCAATGATTCGAGCACTTGAAGTTCTTTATTCACTAGGAGTCCTTGATGATGATGCTAAGCTTACTTCGCCTGTTGGGTTTCAAGCAGCAGAGATTCCATTAGTATGTTGCCTCCTGACTATTGTAGAGATTTTTGGCTTTTATTGCTGGATCGTTTATTTATGCACATCATTCTCTCATCTGTGGGGAATAATTATGAATTTCTTTTTGGAGTGAAATACATGTTCTTAACATATCTTTTACCTTATTTATCCACTGGATGACAACATGAGGAAATGTAGTATGAGTAGCATTGTTACTTCTAAGAGATCTTATTGTTCATCAGCTCAGCCTGATGCTTTTGTTTGATTTGTTTTTCAGTTATTTTGCATCTTTAATTTAAATCTGTTGTTCTAAATGAGTATTGCTGGTTATCATGAAATGTTTTCTGTTGTATTCATGGCAAGCATAGGTTTTCTTGTTTAGAATTTATAAGACATGAACTCAAATCTATGTAAATTTTGCAGGATCCAATGATATCTAAAATGATACTATCTTCAAACCAGCTAGGATGTTCTGATGAGATCATCTCAATCGCAGCTATTCTCTCCATCCAGGTAAAGCTTTTTTATTCTTTATTCAAGTTTTTGTTTTCTTTTTTCTTTTTTCTTCTGTTTCCTCAGCTTAGTAGTTAGAATTGGAAAATTCTCAGAAAGCCATAAGAAAGTACCCTATAAAACAGTTAGCGATAATAATAAATTTACAAGGAAGAGCATAAAGGAAATGTTACCTTGTAGGTTAGTTAATGCTTTGCATGTCTTGTTGCAGTCTATTTGGGTTTCTGGTAGGGGGGTGCAAAAGGAATTAGACGAAGCCAAGTTGAGATTTGCAGCTGCTGAGGTATTTGATTTTGTCTGTCATTCTTGCTATTATCTTGTGCAGTGAACAGTTCTATGCATTGAAGTTTATTTCTTGATTGTATGAATTGGAAGCAAGATATTCTTGACCCTTGTTTATACCTCTTGTAGTCCTGCCAATTGAGCAACTGTATCGGGAAGAATCTTATACCAAGCCTTGCCTGCAATATTTTGAAAAAAAAAATATCCTTCCTGACCATCTTCTCGTAACTAGTTTACTCATCCAACAATATCTTGCTTCATCTTGTATGGAGCCATAATTCTTTTTCCATTTTTTTTTATTGTTCATAGCTGCATTTAACTAGTAGTTGTGATATATTCTCTTACTTTTAATATTTGGGTTGATGCTCAATGATTTTAAGTAAGTTTATGTAAAATGAAACTTATATGTTGGTCACCTGTTCTTTAATTTTACAACCTCATTTCTAGTACATTTGCATGTATGCTGCGGTTTCATCTAATTTTACTCTACACTGGTCTCAGTAACTGCATCATTTGATTACTTTTGCTCTTCATTTCATTTGTTAACCAACATATCTTGTTTTTCTCAGCTCAAAAATTTTAATGTTATAAATGTTTTTGTTTTTTGATACATTGCAGGGTGACCATGTTACATTCCTAAATGTTTATAAAGGTTTTCTTCAATCTGGTAAATCATCGCAATGGTGTCATAAGAATTATATGAATTACCAAGCTATGGTATGCATCTGTTCTTACTACTGTCTGTAAACTTTAGATATGGTTAAATTTTCTTTCTGCTTTTTGTTGGCCTTTCTCAATGAAATCTGCTGTCGTTCAGTTTTTCCATCCCAGATATTTTAAATGGTGCAATTCATATAGATGATGTTTTGATAATAATTCAATTTGTTCTGCAGAAGAAGGTAATTGAAATTAGGGAACAGCTCAGAAGAACAGCGCTGAGATTAGGCATAGTCTTAAAATCTTGTGAAGGGGACATTCTGGTAGGTTTTGCAAAAATTTACTGATTTTGTTCTTGGGAGAGAACAAAGAAATCCGTTTATTAAAAAAAATTAAAAAAAAAAAGCTTCTATAAGATTGCTACCCTCATTTAAGTAGGTCTTGTATGCTTTCTGTTTGTTGTTTGTTCCTACTGTACCCTGCTCTTTTCTGCACATTGAGAACTTATTTATAGCTGAATGTGAAAGTGGATTTATCCTATCGGAATCTATATTAAGCTCAGGAAACCTTATGTCATTGCTTCTTTTACTTAAATACATGTTCTTGACAGATTTCTTCAAGTGGTCTGAGTCAACTTTCTGGTTCATATGTTTTCTTACCTTTTGTTCCATTTCTAAGGATGTGCTAAATATAAAATTAAAATGTGAAACAGTAAATACTTTCGCCTTAGTTTCTCCTTCATGACCCAAATAAACTTTCATGAGTGGCTTTTTGAGTGGCATACAATTGTGCACTGTCTTTCCTATTTCATGAACCTTAATAATTTGATGTGTCAGACACTCAGGGAGGTTGACTCTTCATATCTTTTGGCTTTTCCTCTTCTATTAAACATGATATGACTTTTTGAAAACATTATTTGTTTGTATGTGTACAGACATATAGATCTGATTTTCACTGTCCTCCACTGCTCACCTTCTTTCTCTAAATGATCTTGTAGGCAGTAAGGAAAGCAGTTACTGCTGGATTTTTTGCAAATGCAAGTCGTTTAGAAGTGAGTGACTTAATTTTCCATGTTTCCTGCCAAACTAGAAGTATGGAATGAATCGTATTCTTTTTTAGCCTAATGTCCTGATAAAAGTTGTGATTATATTTTATTGAAAGGCATTCAGTCATAACGGGATGTACAAGACTGTTAGAGGTTCTCAAGAAGTTTATATTCATCCTTCGTCTGTGTTGTTCAGGTTAGTAGGCTGGAGTTTGATATTTAAATATTTAGTGAATTTCATCCAGTGCTGCAAATATGGCATAAACATCAAAACAAGAATCACATGATTTGTTTTGTGATGCAATTGATGCTCAATCGTGAACTGGTTTGTGAATATTATGCTAGCAATCCATATTCAAGTGACATTCTCAATTGCAAATGTGTTGATGGTTATAACTTTTGCTACATCTGGTAGGGTGAGGATATAGTGACTAGGTAGTGTTAGGCTTACTACTCTCTTCCTTGCCACATATATGTGGAAGGATAGGCATGATTGTGACTTTCCAGTTCATAGATGTTGAATAACCAAGAGGGGATGTTTTCAAGATAAACTTGTTCTGGAATCTAGCACTCATTCATGAATGCATTTAATTGGTTCATGCATTAGTCACACGTTTACATTGTATTCTAGTGTTTACATTAATATGGTTGATGTTCAAGGAGTTATATTGTGGAAGTGTAAGGGTTGTGAAAGTACCAGGAGTCTTATAAACAGTAATGTAAGTTTTTGAGTTGTACATGTGGAAGTAAGTTAATCAGAGTTTCAGTTTCAAAATACTTCTTTCTCTTGTGTAAGTTTCTTGCTTCACCACCATATTTCTAAGGAATGGTATCATAGCTTTTGAGAAAAGATGATGAGTAGTGGAATGTTTCCTTTTCAATTTTCAAAATTGTCAAAGGAAAATTATGACAATTGGTGTATCTATAAAGGCTCTTCTTGGTTCTCAAGATGCATGGGAGGTTGTAGAGAGGTTACGAAGGGCCTGAAGATGAAAAAACCTTGAATCAAGTGCAGAAGGTAGCTTAGCAAAAAGCTCGCAAGAAGGACCAAAAGCCCTCACTTTGATACATGTATGCCTAGGCATGTTTGAGAAGATCGCTTCTGTAGCAGGTGCAAAACAGGCATGGGATATTCTCCAAATTGCCTTATAGGGTGATGATACTGTGAAAGAGTTTGTCTCCAAACTTTTTATAGGGTGATGATACTGTGAAAGAGTTTGTCTCCAAACTTTGAGAGGAGAGTTTGAATCTCTCCATATAAAAGATTCTGAATTGATTTCAAATTAGTTTTTACGAGTCCTGACTGGTGAATCAGTTGAGAAGGTAGGGGAGAACTTGGAGTATGTACGGGTGATTGGAAAAAATTCTTCAATCTCTAGACTCAAAATTTGAACACATAGTAACAGCCATCAAAGAGAGGAATAATTTGGAGACTTTGACCATTGATCAGCTTCGTGGTATTTCACTTGTTTAGAATTTAAGCTCAGGATTCAATTGATGATATGAGGCCACTTATTTTGAATTTAGGATCAATGATTTTATTGAATGTTTCTCTAAGAACTAGTATTCGCTGTACTAGATGTTCACTGAAAATTTTCATCAACTTACAGTATTTATGAATATTGGTTCTTAGAATGATCCTTGAATGTATTTAGATGATGGCTTTGTATATCATCTTATGATAGAATCTAGATAATACGGCATCTCAGTGTCTGGGCCTTGACAAATATGGTCAAGTTTTGCTGTTGAGTTCTCATATTGTGTTTTGTACATGTGCGAAGTCTGATCATCTAAAAACTTTTATCTTGTTGCAGAGTTAATCCAAAATGGGTTATATACCACTCTCTTGTCTCAACAGACCGGCAATACATGCGGAATGTCATGACTGTTGATCCTTCTTGGCTAACAGAGGCTGCTCCACATTTTTTCCAGCATCAACGAAGACCGGATCCCATTGGTCACTAACCACCTTAGCAATTGTTTTTCTAATGGATGTAAAGAAGGTACAACTTAATTTTGTGGTGATTATTTAATCTCTTGAACAGTTATCTATGATATAGATTCTATATCATTTTTCTGATTTCATTAAAGAAATTTGTTCTGTTTAATGCTTTGATTTTTTTCTTATAAAAAAAAGTTTGTCCGAGCGCATGTGTTGATTGTTCTGGTGAACTTGTTGCTTAACCGTGTGAGATTCTGTCAAAAAGCTGAGGTGCCTTCAATTTGCCTTCATCGTCTTGCTCGTGTGAATGAGATCTGAACCCTAGTTATTTAGTGCCCTGTTTGCAGGTTTTACCGGCTAATATTTGCAAGAAGCTGGTTGGTTTAATTTGGCTTTACATGAAAACTACAAGTTTGAGCTCGTGTCAAGTTAATTTCTTGCTCGGTTTTCGAGTTTCAATGCTGGGGTTTGATTTTAGAATGTTTTAGGTTCCATGTCTTTTATTGATATAGGTTAGGATCGCTCATGCTACTAATCATTGTTGCTGCGACCGTTACTGATATACCAGGGTAAAAAAAGAAATATTCAAACAAATATTCCTCATGATATCTCAATAAATACCAGAAGTCACCAATAAAAAGCATACTCAAGCTGACCTGACCCTGTGACTCTCCTATTCCATATACAAGCTTTTCGCACGCATTTCACCCATTCTGAATCCACTCAGTATGAAGTTTTCCGCGACTTGATCATTTATTATTTCTATTTCTATTTCTATTTCTATTTCATTTCAGAACACGGGCTAATTATTGATTCGAAAACAAAAAATAAATAAGTTTTGCAGTTGACTTTCTCTTGACTATATAAATGAGGGACGCGGTCCATGATCCAGGGGAGGCTTCCCTGAGTTTGGTTGCCCGGAGATGCTGGTATGGGCCTGATTCGCCGATTTCCTTTCAGCAGATGGAATCATCCCATTCTGAAGAATATCAAAATCGATTTAGGAATATTGTTCTGAAAACTATCAGACGAGACGTTCGCGCAGTAATTCAAAGGTATATGGTTGTTCCAAAGCATATGCTAAAAATTCAAGCACAATTTCACTGGGATTTACGGAAGAGCAGCAGAGTTTGACGGCTCCTAAACGGGGTTGGTTGACCTCCATTATCCTAATACAAACTCTCCATGGTATTGCAATAGCTATAAATATTCCCTTGTTCTTAGTGCGATATATTTCTGATAGCTTCTTCTCCCAATTCTCATTTTTGGCAAGCATTATTGCATATGCTCTATACCCCATATCCCTAGGTGTGAGAAGACGGTCCCGTGGATGCCTGATCCTGAAAAGACCAATGCTCCTCCTATGAGTATGTCACAAAGCTGTTATGGTGCAAAATCCTTGTGAAATAAGGGAGAGGAGAAATGGCGTACGAGCTTCAGCTACCTGCAGGATCCAAAATCCATCTTGTGTTCCCTTTATCACGAGGCAGCCAATATCAGCAGCAAGTCCTATACCACTGTAGATCCAAAAGGGCAGATATATACTAGTTAACCAATGTATAACAAGCCAGTTGTTCAACTACTGTTACAGCAGTTAAGTTTTCCTTTTTGAGATGCAAACATGGGAGGACTACAAGCTTCTGCAATCAAATTTTCCCAATTTTAACCCTTGAGGTCAAGGAATTGCTGATTCCAGGGGTGTTGTAATGACCCAATTTTAATCAAGAGAGGATTGCATCTTTAGCATTGTAGTCTTCTACGCAGAGGATTAGTGCCGATAAATGAATGTTTATTTATAGCTACTACATGTGTCAAGTGGTTAGCAGTCATTAGCTGAGTCAGTTAGAAGTTAGTTGAGGACTAACACTATTCCCGCCAAGATCCTCTGCATGATTTTACTGTTTCAATAGTTGGCAATCATTAAGCCATATAATTACTTTTGACTTCTCATTTCTCTCTCTCAGATTTCCAACCATTCTGCAGTAATGGAGTTGATCAGATGAATAAAAATGAACATAGCAGCACTCATGGTTCTGCTAGTCCTTCTAGCCATCCAGTTTGCGAGCAGCCGCTCCATTAGAAATGAGTTCTCCTATCTAATATCTGATGGCTTGGATAAAAAAGGTCAAAACAACTTCTTACAACTAAACAATCTGGGGACATCTGTGACTTGCGAGCCGATTTATGGCTTCATGCCTTGCACCACAAAGGTTTGGGGCAACCTCTTCCTCTTGGTGGTTTACGAGTACTTGCTGTCCCTCGCAGATAAATACATTTCTAGTGGATCCAACCTTTTCTTTCAAATGTTCGGAACTGGTATATTTGGTGGTAGTGTGTTCTATGTGCTTGGTAAATTCCCACAAATTGTATTGGTTCTCGGTAAGCTCTTTTCTAACATTTTATCTCAGCACATGGTGTAAGCCTTTCCCTGTTTGCTATTCCTTGTCGAAAAAGGCCTGAGGTTAATCTTTGAAAATAGGACTATTCATAGAATATTTTCTGGTAGGAAAAGAACAAAAATCAGTAAGGATTTATAGTACCAATGTTGTGGTTCTGTTTGTAGTTTGGTCAGGAACTGCTTGATAAAAATGAATGTTCTTTTTCAGTGACCTTGCTCTCAGCGAGTGAAGATGTTGTCGGATCAGCAGTGTCGATGTCAATGGGGTTTCTTGCAGGCTCAACTATGATGAGCCTAACAATAATCTGGGGTTCTGTTATTGCTTTCGGAAGCTATGATCTTCAACAGACTCCTTCATCAAACCTGGAAAACAAAATGCTGTGCCTTTCCAATGGTCTTTTTTTTTTTTTCCAGTCTTCTTGAGCCAATATGCAAAGATCTTTCTAATTAAGTAAAATGAAATTCAAGTGTGTTCTGGTGTACAGGTTATGGTGTTAAAACTGACATTGTTACCAAATATACTGCAAGAATCATACTTCTGTCAATGATCCCATATTTAATACTTGAACTGTCGAAAGTTGTCAATTCTTCTTCAGCAACACGAGCAGCAGTCCTGATTGCTCTTATTATTACAGTTATTTTACTAGTGACTTACTGCACCTTCCAGGTAACAAATTTAATTCAAAAGAATGATCATAACATCGAAGCATATGATGCGCACTCTATGAAATACATTTCCGAATATATCAAAAGAGCAAAGAAGATAGATCACTAGAAGCTTATGCTTTAAGAGGTAGCTAATAGAAATTGAAATATTGGTCTTTAATCAATGATTGCCATCCTTCTGATATAGCAATGGCACCTGCTATACAGATTGTTAAGAGCTTTACTAGTTAAGAAAATATGTTCGTGCAGGTATTCCAGCCATGGATTCAGGATAGAACACTCGAGTATTTGATTCTGTCATATGTGAAGAAGAACCTACTACAATCTCTATGCAATCCTTATGGGAGACCCATTGAATTCAAGATAAGACAGTAAATTTTCTAACTCATATATTGATTACTTTTTATAGGCTATGATCTCCACTTGAGAGTTCACTGCTTACCATTGATTAACCCTTCCTTGGTATATTTTCAGGTTGTTTCGCAAGATTGATCTGAATAAAAATGGTCAAATATCAGAAGATGAAGTGAGAGCATTTTTAGTGGGAATAGAAGCAGGAGTGGTTGGCTTGATTGGAGACCATTGTGTATCAAAAGTGATGGCAGAGTTTGACTTCTCTGGAGATCATGGTATAAGCAAGGAAGAATTTATTCGAGGGATATCGAAATGGCTTGATGAGGCTAATGGCGTTGAAAACAACGGAAACCAGACAGAATTGTTCAATAGTAATTTACCGGTATATGCTCATCCACTCTCATGTACTTTCCCAAAAGCTAAGATTTTCAGGAACAGTCATAACCAATTGCAATATTGCTAGGGAAGCAGAGAAGAGCAGCAGATATGGGAGGCTGAACAACAGGATTCTAAGAATTCAGATGAATGGAATTACAGTAAGGCCACTTACTTCATCCTTCTGGGAACTGCCATTGCAGTTCTTCTGGCAAAACCCTTAACCAAAACACTCCAAGAACTTGCGACAGCTATAAAGGTCCCCTCTTTCTTGGTGTCATATTTTTTGGTACCCTTCGCGTTGAACTTCAGACAAGGATATAAATCAATCATTTCTGTCAGTGATAAGAAAGAGAAGTCCGTGTCTTTGACACTCTCTCAGGTTCATCTCTCACAAACTCAAGTTTCTTTAGATTATTTTTTGGTGATAACAAAGTGGTGTCCTCAGGCTAGATTCAGTGAACCGAAATCAAGTACTTCCCAGTCATGAGGTCTTAAGCATTCATAAGAGATTATTTTCCTGCTACCTCCTCTAAACGTCCAAACATCTCTTTTGATCAAAGAGTCATTCATGCAGATCTTGGAGTCCAAGCAACCAAGTGTTATGCTATAGATGTCTTGCATGCATGAATGCTTATTTTCTAATTTGACAGGGGAAAGTTTTTGTGCAGATCTATTGTGGGGTATTCATGAACAACGTTCTGGGTTTGACGTCATTCTTGACTATTGTTTATATACGAGAAGTGGAATGGGATATCACAGCTGAAATTCTGGTTGTTCTAGTAATTTGCAGTGGAATCGGTCTATCCTCCAGCTTCTCCTCCAAATTCCCATTCTGGACATGTCTTGTAGCCTACGCTCTATATCCTATATCTCTGGGCTTTCTTTACGTTCTCACCATTTCTCTCGGATGGGGTTAAAAGCTGTTCACACCAATTTTTTATGCTGATACTTTTCATAAGGCGTGATCGCAAGGGGACAATAAACTGCATGGAAACTCAATCACTCCTATGAGTGAGTGTTTCACAAACTTGATAAATCGAAATTTATTGTCCTAATGTGTCTTGTCTGTATAAAAAATTATGTTATTTACCTTGTGGTTTCTATATATTAATTATTGCACACATTTATTTATTTTTTTCTTGTTCATACATCTGGGTAAAGTGGCTGTTTCGGCAAGGTTATTAATTCCGTTTTATATAGCTGTTTTGTTTTTTCAATTTGAACATAATGTTTCGATTGAGTTGTGGTGCAATCATGTTATATAATTTTTTCATTTATCTTGCTTGAAAAGGTAGCTAAGGTCGAAAGAGAAAAAAATTTACTAATTTAATTGTGTTTTTAAACTGTTTTTAGGTTTTTTTTTAAATTGATTTTTTTATGTTTTTAAAATATTTTAATATAATAATTTTTAAAAATAAAAATATTTTATTTTAATATATCTCTAAATAAAAAACACTACAAAAAAAACAGCAACAACTACACTTTCTCTCCATTGTTTCCTAGATGTTACGAAATGAATATCGTGATTCCATCATGAAATCCATATCAAGCGTAATGCGATCATCGTTGAATGTAGAGACCTGAATAATTTCGTTGGAGACTGAGCTCCATCACACCATGTATCTTGCGCACTATACTCGAGAAAGTAGCTCGTATTCATGTTTAAGTTCTGATGCAAACACCAAGTTACGCCTGTTTTATGCCACAGACATTTACAGATCTAAGAAATACATGACCTTTCCTTCGTATTCTGTTATCCCTTTGTTGTATTTTGAGAACAAAAGAGGAAGAGGGTGATTGCTACAATGACTTCATTTCTTCGTGACGAAAGAGTGAGTTAAATGCTTTTATTTATGGAATTCAGCTGCATAAAATAAAATACATTTGACTGAATTCATGATTACTTGAAGTCATGGAAGAAAAAACCACCAAAAGGGTCATTATTTTCTCTTAATTTTTATTTTCTTATCAACGCTTTCGATTTCTGTCAATGTTGTTGATCATATGGAAGGCAGAATTGATTTTGGCTACAGACATAGGAAGAGAAATTGATTCCAGGTGATACACGAAATTGACAGAGGGTGGCAGCTGCTATCAACAGGTTTTTGATTTGGTTCAAAATTTATCAATTATGGGTGAAATTGACCAAAAATGAAACAAAGGAGTTAAATTGCTTTTTAGCTACAAATACAAGGATGAAAACAAGGATTATCTCAAGGGAAAATGAAATGTCTTTTCAATACATGGTTTCCGCTTTATACATGTCTGTATTGCCTACTATATGCTAAATATCTACACATAAAATATATTAAAAAATTAATTTAAAACAAAAATATTAAATATTTTTGAAATAAAAAAATAAATAAAACTTTTATTATTAGTTTGATTATTAAAAAAAATACATAATGATGAAAATGAGAATAAGCTCTTCTTTTTCTACTTAGAAAAACTATTGAAAAAAAATAAAATGTTGGACCTGAATGTTAAAACTTAAAGCAAGTGGGACAAAAGATGAATAATTTTAAACTTCATGGACCAATTAAGTGGTTTTTCACATCTTTTGGGCACTGAAAATTAAAAGCTCTGTTTTTCTTTTATGTGTTAATTTGGATCTTATTTTGTAACAATAAGGTAAACATATATTTCATAAATATAGACGTAAAAGAGATGGATTATAACGATTGAAATGCAAATAATGAAAGGAAAAAATTAATAGTGCACATGTGTGTGAACAATGAAATGTGAGTGTATGAATACTGTTTATCCAGTGAAACAACTATTATGTATTTAAATTTTTAAAAAATTATTATTATCATAATTACTACCCTACTATTTTACTACCTTTTCAAATCTCATCTCCTTGTTTAATGACAATATTTTTTTAAATTAATTTTTACTTCATTATATAATAATAAAAATAAACGTTTCAATTTAATATTATGATATTTTTTTGAGGTTATAATAACATCATAAAAAACTAACACAAATAAATTATAAGATTTAATTTTTAATAAATCCAAGTCAACTTATTAAAAATGCAATTTAGATCATAGATTGCACTGGATTTAATAAAAAAATTAAATTACCTTTTGTTTAATTATATAATTAAAAAATAAATGATTATAAAATTAAATATCAATCAAATATTAAAATGTTTGTTTGAGACTATAATAATTTCATAAAAAGCAAACTAAAATAAATTATGAAGACTAATTTAAAATTAATTAAATATTAAAAGATTAAATTAAAAAAATAAAAAAATTAATAAAACCACAATACTAAGGAAAGAAATTAAAAAAAGATAAAAACACAAATCAAGAAAAAAATAAAGACAAGATGCACAAGCTTGAGTGACCCAGTGTACTTAGGCCTTAATTAACAAAAAAGGCTAAGCACGTGGATTTGCTAGTCCAGCTCGGATATTTATTTTATCCTCGAGGGATATGTCACCTATAATGGCAGGAGACCTGTCATCGACTAGGTTGCCTACTTAAAATCTGGCCACAAATATGGTGGTCACAAAATGAAAAGGATTTTTTTAGCTGAAAAATATATTTTTAATTTATTTTCACTTAAAAACACTTGATAAATACAATAAAAACCTTTATAAACCAATTATCAACACTAAAATCACTCAAAAGAAATTACAATCAACATAACAAAAGAATTCTAAATGTGACTTGATTTACTTTATCATGTATTTTTATAAAAAAATTCCACCACTATCAAATTTCTCTAATAGAATGGAACTTGTTAACACTAAACTATGCCATTTTTGTCATTAGATTGTAGCGAAGTAACAACTTTCTCTTTCCTTTATTGTTTTTCTCATAACCTATTTATTGGTTGCTCCCTAAAATTATTATTCTTATTTCCAAAATTAAAAAAAAAAAAAAGACGGCGATGTGGAGAAAACAGGCCGAGGACAATTTTAAAAATACATAAAAATCAAGCTGCAATTTTGGACAAAATTTGAGCTCTAATTGTACCCCATTATATCCAAGATTGAATAGACAATGCAAATTCAAGGTCGAATTAAATCATTATTGGACGAATCTGCATAAGAAATTAAGTATAAGGAAATATTAAATTTTTAATAGGTCAATTTGATTTAATCATGAGCCAAATTAAAGTTTAATTATGTTTAAGAATTAATTTGAGATCAATTAAAAAATTTCATTAGGTGCAATGACTTAATTAATTTTATTAGGAGCTTAATTGGTGAAAAAAATAAGTTTGGGAGCCTAATTTGAGCTTAATTGAGAAAATTAAAATTTTAAGAGACCAAATTTAATTTTTATCAAGTCAATTGATTGAAATCAAGGATAAGATCACAAGAAAATTAATATTTTGGGGTCAATTAGGGGTTAAATTGAAAACTTTCAAAACCAAGGACCATTTTGCAAAAAATATCAAACTATAAGGGTTCAATTGACTAAAATCAGGGGTGAAATTGAAGAGATTTGAAAGTTTGATTGTTAGTTAAGGTATAAATTGTATAAATTTAAGACCAAGTGAAAAAGGCACCAAAATCCAAGGTTAAAATTGAAGTTCAGCAATGGCAAAATTGCATTAAATCAAAAGTTTTGGAGTCAATTAGAGGTAAAATTAAAGGAAATTAAAAGTCAAAGGATCAAATTGAACTTTGGCAAAAAAACCCTAATTCAAGGCAAAATAATGTCATTTTTTAATAAAATAAAAAAGGAGGAGCCAGACGATATGCCATCTAGTTACTATTCATTATCTTCTTCAATTTTACCTGAAAAAAGATGCTCATGTGGCTACTTTTTAGGCATATTTAATGTCTCATATATCCACCAAATGTGACAACACCTTAACCAAAACGATCACCTAACATTTCTCTACAACGTAGTATAGTTTGTTCAGGCTTATTGACAAGATAGCGGTCATGGCCATGATACTGGCCTAAAAATGCTAACTCAGACAACCTTTAATTGTCGAATTTAACAGTTCATGACACCTACTTTAAACCAACGATTGGGATCCTTTGCAACTAAATCAAGGGCCAAAAGTTTTTCCCAATGAATACAAGATTACCCTCTTCTATTCCTTATAAATAAAGGTGGATTTTATTATCTGAGTATCAAGAAAATCAGGTGCAGTGCAAAAATTAAAAAAAATTACTCTTTCCCCCTGGTTTCTGCCTTTTTTCTGTTGTCTCTTCCCTTGTTCCAACCACCACCAGCTTATTTGCCGCCAAATCCACCACATGTCGCTAGCACGCCACCCTTCATACCTGGAATAGCCATTATTTCTTCCTTTCTCTCACTCCTGTAAATTTCTTATCTCTCTTCCCACAACTAACATTGGCCACCATTTCTCCCACCGATGCCTTCTGAGCCATCAGTTCAACCTCTTGATCATGGTCGAGATCCTTGCCTCCAGTAGCCTTCTCCTCCCCCTACAACAAAATCCATTGCTACATGCAAAACAAGTTCGTTCAACATGTAGCTGTTAATTATAATTAACATGGTCATTGGTCGGGCCAGTGACCATGTAAAAGATAGGTTGGATTTGTGTCAGTCTAGTCCACCAAAAAAAGATTAGAATTGTTGGGCTGATTTTGGCCCAACATGGCTGAGAGAGGCCTAATTAGTTGTGCCAAACCAGCACATGCACTTAATAATATTTTAAAAAACAAAAAAATTACAAAAAATAAAATTGAGAATCCTTTCAAAAAAATTATGATTTTCTTGCATGTTTTTCTACCAATTTTGTTTAATATTGGGTTGTATTTTTATATTGTAAGATACAAATCCGGTATTAAAATACCAGGTTTTCTCCGAAATGTTTTTAAAAAATTCAAAAAAAAATCTCAATTTTTAAATTAGTTTCCTCTTTCAAAAAAAATAAAAAACAAAAAAAAATATTTTTTCATACATACAAACAAATCCTAAACAGTTTTTCAAGCATATTTTCATAAAAAAGCAAAAATTTGCATCTTTTTCATGTTTTAAAAAACCAAAAAAATAGATATCATAATCAATTTATGATTATCCATTAGGGTTTGACTAAAATGTTAAAAACCCTTTACCAATCATTTTTTTTAATTTCATATTAGAATTTAGATATAGATTTTAATATATGTGAGGCTTAAAACTACACAATAGAGTACATCTTTAGGTAGGGGTGTTCACAGTCCAATTCGGTTCAGTTTTAATTTAAAAATTCAATCGAACCGGAAAATAGTATTCTTTATCAATATGACCCGAACCAAATCGAGAACCGATTCAGACCGAACTAATTTTGTGCGGTTCGGATCGGTTTTTTAGTATTAAAAACCAGAAAAACCGGAAACCAATTAAATAGGCTTTTTTTACTACTGTCGTTACATCGAAGCCCTTTAATTCCTTTATTTCACAATAAACCAAAGATCAAAGAGATGCTTAGATCTGCAAATGCATATGGAGCCATTATAACCACCAAAAAAGGTGCAATCCCTGCTCTTCCAACACCAAATTAAGTCCACAAACATAAATTTCTATTACTTTCAACTTAATAGAAAAGGACTCTATTCAGATGAAAGGATCTAGATCGAGCTTGAAAAACTAAAATGGCTTCTTAATGTGTGGGTTGTTGTCGGTGGTTGTTGATAGGATTAAAGTGAAGGTTGTGGATGACACTATTATATGGAAGACGATCTAGATCAGGCCTGAAAAACTAAAACTGGTTCTTGATGTGTGAGTTGTTGTCTATGGTTGATGATAGGAGTACAGTGAAGGTTGTGGATGGCGCTACCATATGGAAGACCAGAGAGTGATGGTAGGAAGAGGTCGAAAGTGCTAGTGTAAAAATTCAGAAATAGAATTTAATGTTAGGTTAACAGGAAAGAAAATGAGGGAGAGACGAGAGGGAGACAGCTAGAAAGTGATGAAATGAGTTAGGATTAGGGATGCTTGCTTTTATACCTTGTTTTTTAAGTCTTTCATATTCAATTAAATCAGTCCGGTTCGGTTCGGTTCAATCGACTTAAGCTTTTTAAAACCGAAATTGAACCGGACCGAGTGATTTTTTTTTATTTTTTAATCGGTTTATTTGGTTAATTTTTTTTGTTTTTTCGGTTTAATCGGTTGGTCGGTTTTTTTGAACACCCCTACCTTTAGGTATTAAAGACACAAAGTAGAAAATAAATGTAATGCTAAATTCAAACTTTAGAATTGTTAAAATTTAACCTGATAAGGTAGAGACTTTCTTATGAAGGGAGATCTACCTTGAACCGTAAATGAGACCAATGAATAAAAACTTTTCTTAGAAAAATAATCAGATAACAATGCAACTTACCATAGGTAGGGTGTACTGGAAATGTTATGTCTTTCCCTTACACAACCAATTCTTTACTCAGATTCTCACATACCATAGGTTCCTAATAATCATAATACTAAATAACAATTCATGAACCTTAATCATAATTTTATGATTAAACTCAAAGCTCTTTCATTCCTAATAACAATATCTCTTAGGAGGCATCAAAATGCTCGTCAGCCATCAATGTTGCACTTTTGATAGTTTTCAAGCAATTTTATCTCTTATTTTTCAAACTCATGAATTAAAATGTCAAGAAAATAAAATTTTGGATTAAAATTATAAAAATTATCCGTAAAAAGAAAAAAAAGAAAGTAGGTGGACTAAAGAGAGCATTTTCTAGTGAGTTGGATATTTGTCATTGGATTTGTCTTTATTTTACACTTTGATCCTCTTATGTTGATTTTTTTTCTCTCATTAACAAAGTTTAAGAAATTGATCATTAATTTGATATAAAAGGATGTAATTGGAAACAAAAATTGGAGAATAAAATTAAAAAAGAAAACTATGAATTATGATTGCTACAATGATTCACTTAACCATTTTAGTATATTTTATAATATAACAAAGTGGACATAAAAAAATAAAAATAAACACTTATTTTTTTATGATTAATATTTTTTTATTTAAATCATGATTAATAAAAAAAAATTTGTACGGGTCTCTTCTTTTTTTTTTCTAGTTAAGAGACAAGGCTTTCAACTTTTGATACTCCTTGCCTAGTTAAATGCAACCATTCAAAATATTTAATTGACTAAAAATATATTTATTTTCAATTTAATAATAAAAATTAATAAAATATGATTATTGTCCATTAAAATAACCCATCATTTATTTAATTATAATACAACTAAGTTAAAAAAATCAAACTTAATTTCATTAAATAACAACAAAATTCAATTTTCTTCAAATTCCAAACAAACCTTAACATAAAAATCATACATTAATATAACAAAACTTTTTAGAAAAAAAGATATAAAACATTTAAATATACAAGCAAACTATAAATACTATAACAAAAATTCAATAAATTAACCTAAAACATAAATGTGTTAAAAACAGATAATTGAGTTTGCTTACTTTATGTATCATAGCTTCATGAAAATTTCAACGATGGATACTGGCACTACTAATATATGTAAATTGATGTTGGCAGGTTAAGATGGCTGAATTTATGAGAAAATATGTGGGTTGTTGGTATTTTTTCACCAAGAGAAAAAGGAAGAAGAAGAAAAAGAATGGAGGGAATTGTTGGTTATAAATTATCAATATTTTCCCACCTAAGAATTTCATCAACAATTTTGTTTGTAAATAATGATATATCAACTTTCCGATGGAATTACCTATATAATTTTTATTGTTGATCTTATTTTTTTCTCCCTCCGTAATTCCATCAAAAATTGACTCTTTTTTTATATATCTTTAATGATTTTTGTAGTTTTGAAAGTCAAAATAAAGTTTATATATATATATAAACTAAGATACGCAAATCCTTTAAAAATGAAATTGATAAAAAAAAAATTAAAAAACAAAAAAAGAAGAAAAAGAAGAAGCATTATTTAAGTTAATAGTGATCTATGTGAGGTGAAGAAACATAAATTCTCTTTCTCAATTAGTCTATGTTAATAAAAAAGAATTAAAATTTTTGTTTTAGTCATAAAGTTAATAAAATTTAAAGGGTATTTTAATGGAATCAAATGTTTGACACGAAAATTATGTTTTTATATTTAGTTTATTTATGAATAGAACTGGGAGTATGCTACCAAATCTTTGTTTCCAATTTAATTGAAATTTTGTTTTATGAAAGTTGTGTGATTGAATCCTAGTCAATGATTTATATTTTAAGACTAGAATTTAGTAAACATAATAGATCATCTTTTACAGAATATGAAAGGATCTCATACTGAATAAAATCTCTCAATATTCTCTCCTTTTATTTGGTAAATACGATTACCAAAAATTCTTTTCGTTTAAGAATAGTCGTCTTCGTTATTAGAGGGGGGAAAAGCTTACGAACCATCTCCATACTCACGTTGTTGCTCGAGTTTGTTGAATGACAAGGTTAAGAAGGCAGTGCATAATCTTGATATACTTCATTTGATCTACAGACTAAATTTCAAGAGCATAGCTTCTCTCTTCATGCGGACGCAGGGATGTGCTGTGCTTTGGTTCAGCTGATATAGAATGAATAAGAGATAATCTTGTAGCGTGGATAAACGAAGGGAAATTGGATGTCTTTTGTCCCTCAATTCTTCATATATAGTATCCCAGATTAAAGAAGATCAAACTTAAAAAAATATATATGTTTTATATAATGACAAACAATCCTCAAACGATATCTGAAACGCCCATTCAAACAATCCTCAAACGATAACTGCAATCTCTGATGGATTAATTCCCGCTCAGAGCCTCAAGTCAAGATCAATACCATCTCCTCTTTTTTCAATTCTATCATCATTGTTTAAGCTAAAGTTTGTTTCAACCTTGCTCTTTTGCTCTACTGGAGGCAGGAAGCTGAACAAGGGTTTATTACAAATTGATCCGCTACCTTGTGAAGGCCTGTGTTGTGAGTCCTCAGTGCTTTCCTTCAGATGATAATAAGAGGAAATTGACATCAGGCATTAGCTATTGCATGTTTTTATTGCCCTTGAGATGATAAGAAAATCTATTGATGTTTCTGAAATTTATTTCTTACTCGGAAAGGTAGAGGATGTTTGGACTTGGACTGTTCTTGTTGAGAAGTATGAGTTGATGGAGAAGGAATCGCCGGAGAGCCAAACAAGAGGAGATTACCATTAGCTACTCCATAATCTGTATGGCGCTTGCTGCCTATATTCTCGTCCCTGGAAAGGAAAAAAACACAAGGAAATGTTAGCAAAATGCATGGCTAGCATGGTTAGGGGATGGATAGGAGTTCTAATTCGAAATGTTTTTTATTAAAAAAAATTATTTTTAATATTAAAACAATATAAAAAATAAATTTTTTAAAATAAATTTTAAAATAACATGTTTTTAACCCACGTTCCCTCTTCCCTCTTAATATAGCATGTAATTTACAATAGCTTGGCTAATTAGCTAATTAATTAACCTGGAAACCGCCTCGATTTGCTCAGGATTAGTGATGCCGTGGCTAGCACGTGTGAGTGACAGGTCCTGTCTGCTGAATTGAAGTGAAAATGCAGGAACTCGGTAGTGGTGAGGAATTGGAGGGGCCTCCATGGAAAACGGGAAAGATCGCTTTGAGCCAACCATCTATGCATCAATAAATTTGACAATCAAATCAGTTAAAAGGGAGATTAAGTGCAACAAAGATAGATGGAATTTATGAAAAATGAACTTATACAGAAATATAATGTCTTAAATTTCATTAATTTGATAATAATGAGTGATTTGGTGGTTTAAAAACAATAGAAAAGAACACATAAAAATAAATCAAACTAAATGCATCGAGCTAATCATAATTATTAGAGTAAAAAAAAGATTATTATTTTTCAATTCTTTTATTGTTATAAGAGGATGCCAAAAACAGCCAATTAGGCTTAAATGATTGTAATATTTATTTTTTATTTTTATATTTCGGATACTCAAATAGCAAAAGACCCGGACTAATATATAATACTCTTCTTCAACGGATCATGAACCCTACAAAAATTGATCTTATGATGAAATTGCCAACAACAAAAGAAGAAAGAAATGAAAATCGAGGGACGATCAAACATGGGGCTGAATTGAGTTATGATACGAACAAATTTTAAACTTGCCTTGTCCTCATCTGGCCATAAAGAATTGTTATGGTGGAGTGACGTTTGGTTTGAAGGGGGCTCTATACCATGATACATTACTACGGATGATGGAATTGTTGAAGAAGATGATGCCACAGACTCTGGAAAAAAATTTATCTGCATCAAGTTACACACGTTAAAAAAACAAATTAAAACGGTATATAATTGGAAGGGAAATAAAAAAAACTCCCTTACCATTGGAGAGGGTGAATATTGGCTTGCTTGTGCCATAGAAGAGGAAGGAAATAGTTGGTCAGGTCCATTTGTTGAACGCATAGAAAATGGATTCCCTGAAGCCAATCTAGGACCTCCAATATCAGCTCTAGGTTGGCAAGAATTCCACATCGTGGGTAAAAATCCATGTTCATGCAAAACAATGTCTGATCCACCATTGCCAGTGCCTCTGCAAACTTGTAATGATGTGTTCTTACTGCAATTACCAAAAAATGTTGTTGACTGCGGACTAAAAAGATTAGGATCAGGAGCAAATGGGAGATTTTTAGGATGAGATTTGTAGGAAGTTAGAACAGGAGATTGTCTTCTATAAGAACTTGAAGGTTGTGAAACTACAGAGAACCCTTCAATATTCTTGGTTTCGTCAAAACTCGTATCATTCTTCTCTTGATCCCTCAAGATCTTCTCTAGCTCTGCCACTCCTGGCCCTCTCTTCGGGGTTTTCTGTTTCTTTACCTTCTTTGAACATGTATTATCAACACCATTGCCACCACTATTGCTGCCATGATGATCATCACCATCACTACTAATGCTAGTATAGCTACACATGTCTATGCTTGGGGTTATAGTTTATTTTTTGCGTTTGGCTTTCCTTTGTGACAACCCATGAGTCCATTATAAGACCACAAATCGAAATATAGAAGGAAAAGGTTTAATTACGCAAAGCCAATAGAGAGAATCCAGCGAAAGTTTAACAGGAATCCCCACATTTTAAGACCCACAAATCTAAAACCAGTAAAAAGAAATCAATTCAAAAACCGAGATATATGGTAAGAAAATCGTCCCAAAAGGATGTGGAATTAAAAGCGGCTATCTAGTCGTTAACGTAGAAGTGAAGCCAAGGAAACTCCAGCCATGTTTTAAGCTCCAAAAGATCTTTCACGCCGGTGAGAAAGAGAGATCCAAATCTTATACTAGGAGAGTGAGTTTGTTTTTCTCTCGAAAAATATTTTCCAATATTTTTTGAATTTTTGAATTGAAAATATTTTCCAATATTTTTTGAATTTTTTAATTGTTTTTAATTATTTTTTATGTTTTTAAATTATTTTAATATATTAATATCAAAAATAAATTTAAAAAATATATATTATTTTAACAATTAAAAATACTTCAAAAAAACAATTATTACCTTAACACTCAACACTACAAAAAGGACACATGAAAAGAGAAAGTTGTACATGAGTTAACGTGATTTTCTCAGAAACTTTTGTTTGTCCGACGAACAAAATATATGTTCCCGAAGAGGATTTTTCAAAGTAAGAAAAACCAAGCATTTATCAGAATCTTCTCCTTTGTCGATTTTCTTGCTCAAAACGAATCTTCTTCTTTTTTTAAAAAAAAATCTAAGAACTTTATTTATTTCCGAATCTAAATACTTATTGTCAATTGAATCTCAGTCTTGTAAATATTATCAGTTTGATTCCAAAAACATTAAGAACTCTAATAAGCACATGAATTTACATTATACATATACGAAAACAAGAGGGTGCTTTCATGTAGAAATGATAAAATTATAGATTTTGCCAAAAACTTTAGTCTAGTAATATCGTAGCGTGGAAAATTTTTAATTTTTAGTTTATTCAATGAAATTTAATATTGTAGATTTTATTATTTTTTTTAATATAGCGGTGATAAAATTATAATCTTCAGATTTTGTTTAGGAAACAAATTTTCCTTATATGTTTTTTTTTGGTACTTATTATTTTTATTATTTCACATTTGGTCTATTTATCACTATTTTCCTCTTATCTTTGTTTTTTTTAGTTTTTTTTCTTTACATTTTTTTAAAATATATTATTTTTATTTTTTACATTTTGAATATTTATTACTTTACACTTAATTTATTTTTACCATTTTTTGTTCTTATGTTTATTCTTTTGTAATTTTTTTAATTCTTTTGTTACAATGTTTTTCACTGTAACAATTACAAAATTATTCTATTATTCTGTTATATTAAATATTAAATTGAGATCTTATATATTTTTATCAATACATATAATCTTTATCTTTACTATATTTTATTACTTGTATGTATCAACATTTTAATTAACAATTTTATTTTTTACTCAATATAAAAAAACACGTAATAACATATACACATTAATTTTTATGTGTTAAAAAAATTATTCAACTTATAGCGAAGCGAGTTAAATAAATACATTAATATTTTTTTTTTTTGCATTTATTGATATATATATGGTTCTCGATGTATTTAATTAAATGCATATATAGACTTTTTAATTTATAATTAGATTTAAAAAAAATACATTTAAAAAGTTTGTATTTTTTTTTCAAAAATAAATGTCCTACTTGTATTATACCAAAAATGCTGGTCATGTTCATTAAATGTTTTCATTTTTATTTTCAAATTGATGTTTTTTTTAATATACAAAATATGTCTATTGTGCTTCAACTATTAAAACAATTGACGAATTAAAAGACATAGTCGAGAAATATAGAATTTGTTTGGAACCTAATTAATAAATTTTATAGATTTGGAATATATTTGAGAATTGATATATAGGTTTAAATTGCAGTTTCTATAATATGAACTTCCATGTGTTAGGTATCCGAAAATATCGGCAAATCTTTTCCATATATATTGACTCAGGACATTGATAGATTTTCCTAAAATGTAATTCACGACTATAATATAGTTTGATAATTAAATTTACTATAATTGATAAAGTGGTCCCGAAAAAATATGTTTGCAAGGGAGGCCATAAATGTTTCATTAGAGCATTGCTTGAAGGCAAAGCCTTGAAGCCTTATTGAAGTCTTTGGTTCGATTTTTTGTATTTGTTTTGCAAGGGAGGCCATAAAATATTTTTTATATTTTAAAATTATTTTAATTAGCTGATTTTAAAAATAAAATATTATTTGATATATTTTTAAATATAAATATTTTAAAAAACAATTGTTATTGCATTTTTAAACATCAAAACTCAAAACACATCATGCATGATCCATTCATGAACTCCAATTAATATAATATAATGTTTGAAGAATTCTCATATCAAATTAATAATTGAAAGATTTAATTGTCATACAATGAAAGATCATAATTGAAATAGACATTGGTGAGGTGATTGTTCAAATCAAAATTGAGTCTTTGACAATTGAAGTATCCATCGAATTTCCAGTTCCAATATTAATTTACTTATAATAAACTAAAAGGGACTATCAATTGTCAAGAATGATCAATCACTGTCACGAATTAGTTTATATATATATATAACAGGATATCTTCAATCCATTTTTCACTAACTAAACAAATCCCTAGATTTTCTTCTTCCCTGGAACCTGCTTGAAAAATCATTCTAAAAATCCAGAAAAATTCAATATAATCATCATTTTAGTTCATACTTAGGTATTTATTTAATCATCATTTTAGTTCATAAATATACATGTTTTGCAATCACGAATTGGCTTATTGCTACATGTTTGATTATTATTATTATTATTGCAGCAATACTATGTTCCTCTTTCAAGGAATTAATTAGGAATAATTAATTCTATTTAAGATTGTTCTTAATAGAAATATCATGAACATACTAGTAATGCATTAGAGAATGCGAAATAAAACACCAAAAATGTGAAAATATAAAGAAGGAAAGCTCTCGTAAATACAGCTCATAAAGGTAGACGATCTAAGAATTAAAAAGCCAAATGGATATGAAAATCTGCTTCAAGATATTTTAATAAATTCGATCTTACATATTTCTGGTGGTGTTTTGGTAGGTGGAAGGATGCATTCACATGGGGCTGTGATGGGACGACAGTCTTGTCTCATTAATTATTATTATGTATTTTCAGAATGCAGCTTAAATTATATTTTTTAAAAAATTATTTAAAATTTTTTTACATTATTTTAATATTAAAAATAATTTTTAAAAATAAAAAATATTATTTTAATATATATTAAAAAAAACATTTTAAACCACAACATTTCACTTTTCAAAACAAGATAACCCCGACATCACAATTAAGCCATTGAATTAAGATCTTATTTTTTTTAGAGAGTTTTTAAAAAAAAATTAAAATTTTTTATTTTTATTTAAAGTTAATATTTTTTTAATAATTTTAAATTATTTTAATTTAGTGATATTAAAAATAAATTTTTAAAAATAAAAAATATTTTTAAAAAATAATCAAAATCACACTTACCACTTACTAATACTTCTAAACACGTCCAATCACGGGTTAAGATCGTCAACTAAGGACATTATATTGAATAAGGAAATGGCGTAGCGTAGAAATAAACTGCATAATGGGTATATGATAAATCAGTTCGAGAAAAAGATGGTCGATGATGAACATGTCATGTTATACTTTTCTTTTTTCGAGCCAAAAAAAGAAAAAAAAAGCTAATATCAATTTTTTTTCTTTAAGCTAAAGCTAAAAAAAAGTTTCTTGAAGTTTAATTCTTGTTTGTTTTCGTGGTGTTAAAGTACTTTTAAAAACAATTAAGTTTTTTAAATAATTTTTTTATATTTTTAAATTGTTTTAATATGTATTCAAAATAAATTAAAAAATAAAAAAATATTTTAATATTTTAAAAATAATATTATTATAATATATAATAAAATAGGACTAGTTATATTATATTGGAATTATATTTAAAAAACATATTTTATTTAAAAAATATTAAATTAATTACTTTTATAATTTCTTGATATATTTATGATTAAAAAACAATTTTAACCTAAAATCTTAAATTACTAAGTAAAAACTTGAAATATAATTTATTTTATTTTATAATATATCACTTTAAATAAAAATTTGTTAAATTTGAAATTTGTACTGATCTTCATTATTTTATATTTAATTTTTATTAAATAAATAAAAATTATAAAATTTAAATTTCTAATCATTTAATTATTAATACTATGATATAATGATATAAAAATATCTTAATATAATAATTTAAATTATTAAATAAAATATTATAATATAATTTATATTATTTTTTAATATTTATATTTTAAAAAATAATTTTTAAATATATTCTACGTCACAGTATCAATCACAGCAAAGATGCCTGAGCAGTTAAAAATTTCAGATTTGACTTCCAGCCAATTCTCACATTTCAAAATGATTGTCACTTCTGCAAAAGTAATTAAAATGAATGCCAGGAAAGATTCTGACAAATACCCACTACCATCACCATCGATCACCTGTATATCACAAAAACAATGTAAAATATTTATATTATTTGTTAGTTTGATGAGTTTAATTATTAAATTAATAAAGTTTATATTTTTATTTAATTTGGTATTTGTGTTATGTTTGATAATTAAGAATTTATGTTTTATTTGATAATTAGATTATTTTAGATTTTGAACAAATTAATTATGTATTGTTAATACAATTAATATTATCCTATGAAATCAATTAGAGTTGAATTAGATAAATAAGGGTTTATATTATCTTAAATGCTAATTATGTTTGTTTTATATAGTAATGTTCAAGTGGCAAAACACTACAATAATGTTATTATATTTCTTATTAGGTTGAGAGATATTATATTACACTTGATTTATTAAGAAAAATATTGAGTTTTGTGATATTGTCTCAGAAA